GCCCCGGGTGCCAGGGGCACTGGGGGCAGAGGCGGGAGGGGGCAGATCAGGAGCGGGAAGAGGAGGAGACGGGGAACCGTTTCACAGAATCCTAGAATCCCAGAGCGGGCAGAGCCCTCAGGGGTCATCGAGTCCAGCCCCTGCCCAGAGCAGGACCAACCCAACTCAGTCAGCCCAGCCAGGGCTTGGTCAAGCTGGGACTGAAACACCTCTAGGGATAGAGATTCCACCCCCTGCCTCAGGAACCCAGCCCAGCGCTTCCCCACCCGCCTAGGGAAATAGTTTTTCCTAATGTCCAACCTAGACCTCCCCCACTGCCACTTGAGACCATTGCTCCTTGTTCTGCCACCTGCCCCACTGAGAGCAGCCTCTCGCCAACTTTTCTGGAACCCCCCTTCAGGGAGTTGCAGGCTGCTCTCAAATCCCCCCTCCCTCTTCTCTTCTGCAGACTCAACAAGCCCAAATCCCTCAGCCTCTCCTCATAGGTCATGTGCTCCAGCCCCCAAATCATTTTTGTTGCCTTCCACTGGACCCTCTCCAATGCGTCCACGTCCTTTCTGTAGTAGGGGGCCCAGAACTGGACACAACACTCCAGATGTGGCCTCACCAAAGCCGAATAAAGGGGAATAAATCACTTCTCTAGATCTGCTGGCAATGCTCCCCCTAATGCACCCCAATATGTCATTAGCCTTCTTGGCTACAAGGACGCCCTTTTGACTCATCTCCAGCTTCTCTTCCATTCTAATCCCCAGGTCTTTTTTTTGCAGAACTGCTGCTTAGCCTGTCGGTCCCCAGCCTGTAACAATGCTTGGGATTCTTCCGTCCCAAGGGCAGGACTCTGCACTTGTCCTTGTTGAACCTCATCCGATTTCTTTTGGCCCCATTCTCCAATTTGTCTAGATCACGCTGGACTTTATTCCTACCCTCCAGCGTATCTACCTCTCCCCCTAGCTTATTGTCATCTGCAAACTTTCTGAGGGTGCAATCCATCCCCTCATCTAGGTCATTAATAAAAATGTTGAACAAAACCAGCTCTAGAACCAGTCCTTGGGGCACTCTGCTAGAAACCAGCTGCCAATTAGACATTGAGTCTCTGATCACTACCGGTTTCAGTTGTGCTGCAACAAATTTGCAAGGTGGGATTTGCTGCAGTGACTCAGATGATGATTCACTATCTCTGGTGCTTGTGTCTCTGACCGTGGACAATGCTAAATGCTTCCAAGGAAGGTATAAAACCTCACAGAAAACCTGACTCTGCACTGTTGTATTTTGAAGGAGTGCAGGATGAGCACTTTGTGACCTGAAAAATAAGATTCCCCAGACCTTGTAACTTATTATTGCGTGGCTGCTTTAACAACATCCTGCAGCAATGAGTTCCACAAGTGAATTAACCTTTGCATAAATACTATTCCTATTTACATTTTAAAAATTGTTTCCCTCTTCTCTGAGTAGTAGAGGCACAACTGCCAAAAAGGATGAAGGGCCAAATTCAGCCTTGCTGTAAACAGGTATAAGTCTCTGATCCCAGCAGGAGTAGCTTTTCTTACAGATGCTACAGCCTATGAAAAGCCAAACATCTAACAGTATCTTAAAGCCTCCAGCTTTCATACCAGAGCTGTCCTAACCGAACCCCATTGCCAAGATTGGTGCAAAATGGAAGAAGCCGCGATGTAGCTACTTTCTGGTTACTCCTCCGAAGTATCTTTACCAGTTTTTGCCCTCTGTTTTTATCTGTGTGCGTGTTTGTTTTTGCAGGAAGGTGGTGGAGTTGCCCAAGCGGCGGTTCGGAATTCCTCTAGACCGAATCGGAACGAACCGTCTCGCCAACACCAGGGGTTAGCACATGGTGCAGGTGAGTCCAGGTTCCAGAGCAATGTTCAAGCTCATCACATAGGTTCTTGGGATCCACTGCTGCTCTTGGTGACAGGCCTCCAAGCTCTTGTGATGTCAGTGGATGATGGAGAGTCAGATTTGTGGAAAGGCGACTTTGTGTCATCCTGAGGGGGGACTGACAACAGGGCTATTCGAAAAGCGACCAGTTGCAGTTGTTATCCATGCCCACTGGAGACAGGACAAGGCTTAATCAGCAGCAAGGGAGACGTAGGTTAGACGTTGGGAAACACTTTCTAACTTTTAGAGTTGTTAACCTCTGGAACAAGCTTCCAAGGGAGGTTGGGGAGTCCCCTCATTGGAGGGTTTTCGAACAGGTTAGACAAACCCCTGTCTGGAGCGGTCTAGGTATATTTGGTCCTGCCTCAGAGAAGGCTGCTGGGATAGATTCTTTAGGTCCCTTCTAGCCTGACATCTCTGTGATTCTATATAACATTGCTTTATTCCAGTGTAGTTAGCTTTGATACTTTCAAAAGTTAGGAATTTGTAAAAACACCCTCCTCCCCCAACAAATCCAATTTAATACCTCTAACTTTGCTTGTCTCTCATAGACCTTTCTAGAACAAAAACCAGGATGATGTAGCACTTTAAAGACTAACAAGATGGTTTATTAGGTGATGAGCTTTCGTGGGCCAGACCCACTTCCTCAGATCAAATAGTGGAAGAAAATTGGCACAATCATATATACCAAAGGATACAATTAAAAAAATGAACACATATGAAAAGGACAAATCAAATTTCAGAACAGAAGGGGGATGGGGGGGAGGTAAATGTCTGTGAGCTAATGATATTAGAGGTGATAATTGGGGAAGCTATCTTTGTAATGGGTAAGATAATTGATGTCTTCATTTAAACTTAGGTGTAAAGTGTCAAATTTAAGCATGAATTAATTATTATAAAATAAAGACATTAATTATCTTACCCATTACAAAGATAGCTTCCCCAATTATCACCTCTAATATCATTAGCTCACAGACATTTACCTTCCCCTCCCATCCCCCTTCTGTTCTGAAATTTGATTTGTCCTTTTCATAGGTGTTCATTTTTTTAATTGTATCCTTTGGTATATATGGTTGTGACTATTTTCTTCCACTATTTGCTCTGAGGAAGTGGGTCCGGCCCACGAAAACTCATCATCTAATAAACTATCTTGTTAGTCTTTAAAGTGCTACATAGTCCTGTTTTTTGTTTCAGCTACGCCAGACTAACACGGCTACATTTCTATCGCTAGACCTTTCTAGAGTCTCTTTGTCTGTGGCTTGGAGTTTCTCACTAGGACAATGTAACTTTCACGGCCTTTTTTTTTTCTGCAGGTGCATCTACGCTGGATGATTGATGCTGTATCAGGAACGTCACAGAAATATGGAACCTGCTTCACAGAGTGTCTTGTCATTGATTAATGATTCAGCATTTAAGGAATTGACCTGCTGCAAAATCTATTTCACATTCCATTTTACAAACAGTAACAGATTCCATCCATCAGATCAGATCATTCTCACAGCGACGGTCCCAGTCAAAGGGAACAGACAAAGTGTGTATATAATTTCACTGCATGATCTTTTTTTTTTTTTTTATCTCGTAAAAGTTTGTTATACTAGCAAGGACTATTAGAATTTCTGAAGAAAAATAAACACTTTTAGAGATGCCAACAGCAACCTCTGGAAGGCAGAATTGTTTGTAAATTTCATTCAAGAGGGTTGTTCGTTTGTTTTCAGGTGGCTAAAGAAAAGATTTACCATTGAGGGAACAGATCAACTTTTATTCGGTCCTTATTCAGGCAAAACTTTTTACTGATGTCAGCAGGAGTTTGCTTGAATGAAATCTGTGTAAATATCTTAAGATTTAGCCTGATACTTGTAGCAATCTTTCATTTATCTCTTTTGTATCTGTGCTATGAAGCTTTTCATCTATTTGGCACCTGTCAGGGATGATCTAGACGGTGCTTGGTTCTGTCGTCAGGGCAGGGGACTGGACTCGATGACCTCTCGAGATCACTTCCAGTTCTAGTGTTCTATGATTGACAGACATTGAAACTTGGTGAGGCTGTTATTTCACGTACACCTCTGAGCTTCCCTTCCGCTCCTTTTTGTGCATAACATGGGGTGGACTGGAGGCTTCTTTGTCCTAGCCTCAGAGGCCAAGTAGGAGGTGACACGTCCCCCGAGCCTTATGCACATAGAGCACCTTGCCTGAGTGATGACAAATCGCCTCATTTGTTGACTTCCATTTTTCTTGGGCCTGCTGACATTTTGCTCATTTCTTTAACCTGCTGTCTGAGGAGGACTCAAGTCCGGTGAGGCGCAGGAGATCGAGATCCAGAGCTTATAGAATTATAGAATCACAGAACCCTAGAACTGGATTGGACCTCGAGAGGGCAGCAAGTCCAGTCACCTGCACTCCCAGCAGGACCAAGCACCATCTGGATCATCCCTGACAGGTGTCTGTCCCGCCTGCTCTTAACTATCTCCAGAGATGGAGATTCCAGAACCTCCCTAGGTGATTTGTTCCAGTGTTTAACCACCCTGACAGGCAGGAAGTTTTTCCTAATGTCCAACCTAAACCTCCCTTGCTGCAGTTTAAGCCCATTGCTTCTTATCCTATCCTCAGAGGCCAAGGAGAACAATTTTTCTCCCTCCTCCTTGTAACACCTTTTCAGATGCTTGAAAGCTGCTCTTGTGTCCTCTCAATTTTTCTTTTCCAAACTAAACAAGCCCAATTCTTTCAGTCTTCCCTCTGTTTTCTTGATCATTTCATGGGAACAAGTCAATATGACAGCAACAGTCAATAGGGTCAAGAAAGCCTGCGTACCTTTTGCTATGGGCACGGCTCATGTTTTTAGAGCTGTCTTCATGTGTGTTGCTCTTCTCTGGATCTTCTCCAATTTCTCCACCTCTTTCCTGAAATGTGGTGCTCAGAATATGACACAACACTCCTCCACCTCTTTCCTGAAATGTGGTGCTCGGAGCGTTGTGTCATATTCTAACTGAGGCCTTATGCATTGTGTCGGATGCTAAAACAACATTGTAATAAAATGTCCTGTGGAACTACTGGCCATTTCTAGCCCTTTTCTCTGTCCTAACCACAGAAAAATGTTGCGGTCTCCTGTCAAGTACGGAACTATCTCCGCATCGCAGGCGGGCACTAAAACTGGGGAAGGAGTGTTTGTTGTATGTCAGTAATAGCATGGAACGAGAAGTCAGGACTCCTGGGTCTATGCCAGGTGGCCACTGGATGCTTGTTTTGCCAAAGCATGTAAACGCTCTCCGTCTCAATTCACCCACCAATACCTGCCTGGGAAGGGTGTTCTGAGGGTTAATTTTGTTTGCAAAGCACTTTTAAAGTCCATGGATGAAAAGAGCTAAACGGGCAGCATTAGGAGGCCGCTGAAAGCTCTGTGTTAAAAAGGCTAATATGGGCCCACTCTGGCCGCGGTCTTTGTCCAGAGCACGGTGGCCAACGCACATGAGGTGTGATACTGTAACATGTACTGTGTAGCAGCGTTACCGGTTTGCTTCTGTTCACAGAACCTTCCAGATGCCTTTGTGCGACGGCTGCTAATAAACTGACCCAACTGAACAGACCCTCTTGTGGCAATGAGGCTGGCATTTCTTTTGTGGGCTCCTTGCATCTCCAGAGTCTCAGAGCAGCAACTATTGCCGCTGACAAAGGGACGCAGTGGTGACAAAAAATGGCTGGTGCCTGAGGGAGATAAAGATTTCTCGTCTCTGTGTTTCCGAGGAAGGTGCGAGAAACTTCGTCTAGGGATTAACTTGCCCACAGAGCAGGGGTGGGCAAATACCGGCCTGTAGGCCAGATCCAGTCCACAAGGGATAGACTCTAGTAGGCCGCTGCTGCTATATTTACCTGCACGGCCACAAGTACCAGTGAGCGCAGCTCCCATTGGCTGTGGATCGCCTTTCCCAGCCAATGGGAGCTGCGGGAAGTGGTCTTTCGATCTACACAGCGTCCTGCTGCTCCCATTGGCTGGGAATGGCGCTCTGCAGCCAATGGGAGCTGCAGTTGCTGGTACCTGTGTCCATGCACATAAATATAGCAGGGTGGCCCCAAACCTGGTGTACTGCTGCTGTGTTCTTGCCCACCCCTGCCCTAGAGGCTGTTTCTACTGAACCCCAGCCTCTGGGTGGTTGCTTGAGCCTTTCCCACTCGGTCTCACTATTCCCTGCAGCAAGATGCCATCCCAGCAGCCTGCGAGAGCGGCAAGGAGGAAGGTAGCACCACAGCCTGTCGCTGGGGAGATGAGCTGCTTTCTATAAGCCACAGCTTCCTCACGGTGATAACTGGGAGGCACGTCAAGCCCCCCTCCTCCTCCTCCCGCTCCGTCAGCGGCTGTGAAGGCTGCAGCCCAAGCCCCGTAGCCTTCCTTGAGACATGGGAATTGGAGAGGCTGCCGTAAAAGGGCCAGCAATGAACTGGATGCAAGAATCCCTCAGTGGGGAGCCTGGGCCTGTGCTGTGCAGTGAGATAATCAAGACAGTTCCTCCTGGCCTCACAACCAGCCTTCACCACACTGGGGGGGGGGGGTCTCCCCAGGATCCTGACAGCTGCTTCTGCCCTGGGAAATCCCGCGGCACCTCCGATGCTGCCCTGAGGGTAAGCGCCAGCTGACAGTTACAAGCCTCCGATGGCATCTGCAGACACTCGGTTCTCCGCCCGCTGGGGACACGCCTGGGCTGCACAACCCCGCCGGAGTTTGCTGCACCAGCCCTTAGAAAACAGGGCTCATCGCTGGTGAAACTGCTCTCTGCTGACCGGAAATGCAGTGAGCGGCATGAGTACAAAACCCGAGGCGGGGCACCGAACTATTCTGAATACACTACTCTTAAGCCTCGGTCTACACTCGGGCTTTATTTCAAAATAACCCCCTTAAATCGACTTTATAAATGGAGCATCCACACGTCCAAGCCTGCTATATCGAAATAACGACTCCCCGGGCCATTCGAACTAATGACTCCCCAGTGCTTCCTGGGGCAGTAAGTTGAGGTGGTGCGTCCACAGGAACAGAGCCTGCCTCGGACTCATTTCAAGGCATCCCCATAGTGAAGACAGGCTATTTCAATTTTGTTAAATTGGGAGTTAAGTCAAATTTAGTAATTTCAAAATAGGTTCCTAGTGTAGCTGTGGCCTAAGAGAGCTATATCTCTCCAACATGGGCTGTGGTTTTTCCTGTCTCCCTTGCTGTTGTAAGAGTAGAGGACAACACAAAGAGGTGCATTCTCATAGATGTACTGCATATGGATCCATAATTAGCCGAAGACATGTAAGATATTGCATTCAAGCTCAAGGACTAAGAGGGCAGGTCCTCTCATGGGCTGTGTCTAGACTGGCCAGTTTTTCTGGAAAATCAGCCGCTTTTCCGGAAAAACTTGCCAGCTGTCTACTTGTGGCCGCTTGAATTTCTGCGAAAGCACTGACTTCCTACTGTCTGAAATACGTGCTTCCTGTGGAAATACTATGCTGCTCCCGTTCGGGTAAAAGTCCTTTTGCCCAAAGCTTTTGCGCAAAAGGGCCAGTGTAGACAGCTCAGATTTGTTTTGCGCAAAAACACCCCGATTGCGAAACTGGTGATTGGGGCTTTTTTGCGGAAAAGCGCGTCTAGATTGGCATGGACTTTTTTTCCTCAAAAAGTGCTTTTGCGGAAAAGCATCCGTGCCAATCTAGACGCTCTTTTCCGCAAATGCTTTTAACGGAAAACTTTTCTGTTAAAAGCGTTTGCGGAAAATCCTGCCAGTCTAGACGTAGCCTGGGATGCCCACATCTGGATACTGCGTACAGATGTGGTTGCCTCATCTCAATAAAGATAGATTGGCATTGGAAAGGGTTCTGAAGAGGGGAACAAAAATGATTAGGAACAGATGCTGCCATACAGGAAGCGATTGATACAACTGGGACTTTTCAGCTTAGAAAAGAGGAAACTAAAGGAGTGGGGGGGTAGGCTAGAGGTCTGTACAATCATGACTGGTGTGGAGAAAGTAGATAAGGAAAAAATATTTACTTGCTCCCATAAACACAAGAACTAGGGGTCACTGTGATGGGGTGTCTGCCCTGCACTGGCCCATTAGGGGTTAAAACCCAGCCCTAAGAGAGGGCGGGGCATGGAGCCAGGAGCTGAGGCAGCTACAGCCCGTTAGGGCCCAGCTGGGGCTGTATAAATAAAGGCTCCTGCAGGGGAGGAGAGACACAGTCTTGCTCTCACTCTAGCAGGGCAGCAGGACGGACCTGGCTGCCAGGGGAGCTGGAGGCCTCCTGCCTTAGAGCAGGGCTGGGGAAGGCAGGCAGGGCTGGGAGGCTCTGACCAGGCAAGCTCCCAGGCTGCAGGGCCTGAGGGGACTAGGGCAGTGAGGAGGCAGCCAGGGCAGGAGAAGGCAGCAGGCCCACACCCCCTTGCCGATGCTGAGTGGCCATTTCTGGCTGCAGTTTGCCCCTGAGGCAAGGAGTAGATGCTGCTTGGCCGTGGGTCACTGAGGCAAGGTGGGCCTAGGGGATGGGGAGTTCATGGGGGGGACCCCAGAGTGGGGGGGCCCTGAGGAAGGGCTGTACCCAGAGGGGAGGGTGCCACAGTCTTGGAGACAGGTGGGTATTAACACAAAGGGGTGGAGAATAAAAGCTGACAGCAGGCGAGACACCGGCCAGAAGGGGGAGCTCCAGGGCTGAAGAGCCGATTCCCTGAGTGACCAGCAGGAGGCCCCGTGGCAGAGAGTCGTGCCTGTGTTACCCTGGCCAAGTGAAATTTATAGGTAGCAGATTAAAACAAACAAAAGGAATGCAGACAGCGCACAGTCAACCTGTGGAACTCCTTGCCAGAGGATGTTGTGGAGACCAGGACTTTAACTGGGTTCAAAAAAGAGCTAGATACATTCATGGAGGTTAGGTCCATCAATGGCCATTAGCCAGGATGGGTAGGAATGGTGTCCCTCGCCTCTGTTTGTCAGAAGTGGCAAGGGAGGGATCGATAGGTGATTCCCTGCTGGCATTGGCCACTGTCAGCAGACAGGACACTGGCTAGATGGACTTTTGGTCCGATCCAGTGAGGCCGTTCTTAAGTTTTAAAGTAAAGGGTGAACATTGGAAACATAATATCATTTGGGTGTGATCAATTGGAGATAATCTAGGCAAACCGCTAATACATGCAAATGGCTTACGGTCCATGCATGCCAGGTTCAGCATGAAACGCTGTTAGGTAGTCGCTCTGTTCTTGTAGAACATCCAGGCTCTTGGGTAAACATGCTGTGGGCTACTCAGTGATGCTTTGTGGGTGGGTGGTGTTGCTGAAGATCGTGCACCAGGCAACCTGCAGTTCAGTACAA